TAGTTTTGGTTTAGAGTTTGGATAAAGGCATCCCCACATTTAGGCCACAGAACAACTGCAGCACCTCTAGAAACATCTCATACTAACCCTGTGGTCAACCTTAACTCCAGGCAATCATGGATCTGCTCTCCATCCCTAGGTCTGCCTTTTTCAGGATGTCATAGAAATGAATCATTCAGTATGTAGCCTTTGGTGTCTGGCTTCTACCCTTGGCAGAGTGCATTTGAGAAGCACATTATTTCAAGTCTGAAGAGTCTGCTTGTCCATCCCACCACCTGGCCCTCCAGGGCTATTTTAAAGCATTTGCTGACCCTCTCTCTGTAGGTTTACTTGTGAAGGCTTTTCCACAACATTTCAAACACATTAAAACATAACCACTTTTCATATTTAATTTTTTCCTGTAGTTTTCTGAATCTTTACAATTTGCCTTTGAAATTGTTTGGTTTTATGGTAGTCTGTGATTCTTCACTAATTATCCTGAGGGGAAAAAATCTTTTAAAAGCAAATAATGACTTTAACAACTAATGAAGTTCACAGTATTGTACATTTTAAGACACGTAATTCCATTTATTAAATTTTATTTTCAATTTTGTTAGAGCCATCACATTTTTTTAGGTCTCAAACATTTCTATAGGCCTTTGGGACCATGTCCCAAGTGCCTGACACAGCCCTGCAAGAATCTCACGACTGACTGATGTCACTGCAGATCCAACCTGCACTGCTATGGGGAGGGATGGAAGACACCTTTCTCAGGATTATAACAATGACCTTTGTTTAAAAAAAAAAGCCATGTGGCACAGTAATTCTTTTAAAAGATTTTATCGCACATACATCCGGTCCAAAAACATATGTACAGTTGTTCACTGCAGCAATATTGTAAAACAAGAAACAACCCAGAGTCTATCAAGAAGGAATTGCTTCAACTGTGGGACATCACACAGTGGAATACCATGCAGCCACGAAAAGGGGTGAGGTAGATCCATACAGTGTATGAACACAGTAAGATTTTCACAATTAAGTGAAAACACAAGTTTCAGAAAAGGAATGTATACTCTGATTATTTTTCATTACCATGAAACTATTACTGTAAAAGATTAGTAAATGCTTAAGAAAAAAAAAATGGGAGGCTATACACCAAATTTTAACAATGGTTATCTCCAAAGAAAGAAAGCTTTTGTGAGTTGTATGTATGGTATTGGGGGGCTTTCTTCATTAGCTTCTCTGTAACAATTGCTTTTTTTTTTTTTTAACCACAAGGACATGTTACTAGCTGGGTGTGGTGGCATATGCCTATAATCAGAGTATTCTGAAAGGGTGAGGCAGGTAGGGATTACAAGTTTCAGTTCAGCCTGGGTAACTTAGTGAGATTTTGTCTCCAAAAAAATTTTTTTTAAAGGGCTGGAGATGTAACTTAGTGCAAAGCCCTTGGGTTCAACCCTTAGTAGAACAAAAAAAGGCAGGGAGCAGGGTATATTACTTTGGTAATCAGGAAAATGCAGTAAATATTAAAACACCAAAACATGAACAGGACTATGTGAAGACATTGATGTTCTGAATCTCCAAGCATGCTGTTTATGAACTAGATTATTCTTGGGTTAGCAGGCTCTTGTCCCCTTCCCTCAAAGTCAAAATAACCTAAGCAAAATTTTTTCCTTCCCCTTCTATCTACAACCACTCTCCAGCCCAATCATAATCATTCACAAACCCCAAGATTATCTGATACATTTCAGAAGTTTCTACAAAAGACTTCCACACTGGAACATTAAGGAGAGCCATGGATAAAAAGCAGGAGGGGAAACTGAGGATGAAGCTAGCATTCTAATTTCTCCAGGACATCAAGAATTCCCAGGCCTATCCTCTGTGTTTTCTCAGATAGGAAAGGAGTTACAGCCCAACAGGTTCACGCAGAGGTAACACATTCATACTGTGTAGATAAACACACACATACTAATGTAATGAGGTATTCTGATAGAGAGCGGGAAGACCAAGAGAAATTTGCAAGGCCTTGAGTTAGAGCCCCACAAGAGAGCCTGAGAAAGCCAGGTCAGTGGTGGGTCCAGAAAGTACTAAGTCCATCTGCTCAGGCCCACTGGCCTTATGAAGTCTTCTGCTGGTGGCTAGGTCCTTACTCGCTGGTGTCCACGGTATGCAGTTTTAAGCTCCCACATCTGTGGAACTACTTGGATCCAACAGAAGCTGCTCCAAAGGACACTATGCTGTCATGCTGGACCAGAAAGGGCCCTCTTTGCTTTTTCCCATAATCACTTCAAGACTCTTGAGTGTCCATGCTTCAGTTCACACTGTTCAGGACAAGGAGCAGAGACAGGAGTGTTGTGCGGGGCAGGTGGCCTTCATGGAGACCAGGCTGGAGCCCCAGGCAGCCAGCAGGGTGTCTGGATCTGCCCCAACTTCTCTGCACAGGCAATGCAGGACACAGGCCAGTGGCCAGAGCATGGTCAGGTGATGAACAGGTGGTGGCTGCCAGTTTCACTTCCCCTGGAGAGCTTTCCCGGGAGGTGAGGACTGAGGGAGCTGGCAAAGTCTCATCTGTAAAGCTGGTTTTGTTTCAAGAAATACAAGTGTTGCTTCCGTGGCAGCCACTTTTCCTTCCAGTTCCCGGGAACATCAGAATGTGATCAGAAGCAGCCCTCGGACCCAAGCCCTCCCCTGCTGCAGGTCAGCAGACTCCACAGGCCTCCAGGTCAGTTCTCGGAAGAGGGTGTTGAGGGGCAGCATTAGGAAATGGAATGCAATGTTGCAACATAACCAAAGGGACAGCAAAGAAAGGGCTGGGATCTTTCCTGAGCTTACTAAAGGTGGCATTTATCTACTTCAACTACTGGGCCACCCACCCAATTTGGAAGAGGAGTTAATGGTGGACATGTGACTAAGGCAAGGCCCAGCTTTCCCAGCCCACTGAGTACTTGGACTCTCCAAGGTTCGTCCCTCTCCATCTCTGCACGTCTCCTCTCTGCAGAGCTTCAAACTGGCCCTCCTCATCCACTTTCTTCTGGGTCACTCAGTCCTCTGTGGCCACAGGTCCCACTTAATGGTCCCTTTCATACTGAAAACTCTCCATACATTTCTTTTAAAACCTTTTATTCAATAATATATACTTTTAAAATAATATGTAACTGCCCGTCATGCTATGTATCACCCCGTCCCCCACTAGAGTCTGGTCAGCTAGTCAACGTGGTTTGCTGGAAAAACAGGTGGCCACGGACGCATCAAGGAGCACGGGGAGCAAAGTAACCAACAACCATGTGCATACCCTTCACATTTCCCATGCTTTCTGGGTCAGGAGGAAGTCAACAGGAAGCCAAAGGCATGTGAACCTTTTACATTCGGAAGTGAGGTTTGATACACGGTGGTGGGCTGCCCTTCAGTTGGTCTAGTTCGTGCTTGCCAAACCTGCCACCGTTTTGTGTCTGCTCACGGAACGTGATCTCTACACACGTTAAGACGTTTGATTTGGTTCTTGTTCTGCTTATGGAAAAGTGGGAGGAACCGCAACAGACCTGGGGAGAGACGGGAGGAGGGGAAAGACGGCATTAATCAATCTGAGCCAGAATGAGGGGCTGGCCTCTGCCTGTGTGGGGCTTCCTTCTGTTGAAGAGGGCAGGGGCTCAAATGCCAGGCTGCCTTCTCATGCCACTCTGGGAACACCTAGCAGGGGCTGCCATATGACCTCTGCTTTGAGTAGTCTCTCCATGCTCTCTGACCACAACTGAGGCAACCTGTAGTCCAGCCTTCTGAAGAGATCAGGAATACTCTGGACAGCATTAAGGACCTGTCCCTCGGATCCAGGTGGATACCCCGAAGCCTTGTAGCACTTCTATACAAGCCAAGCCACAGGTTCAGCAGTCCAGCTCTAGATCCCCTTCACACCTGACCTTGTATGAGGACATCTAGGGTCTAAGAACCAGATGCCCGGGTATTCATTCAGCAAAAAGGCCCAGTCCATTAATAAAGAGCAACAAGTAAGCTGAGATATATTTAACTCTCTGCTGGAAACAGTTGCCTCTGGGTGCTCATGGCTGAAAACCTCATTCTTCCTTCCATGTTCAGCGTGGGAAAGTGGGTGGTGAGATGCCAGATACAGAATGCTGTAAGTGTCTCCTGGGACACCAGCACAATACTGAAAACACTTGGCACCTGAGAAGCTGTCACACAAAAGTCATTTCATAAAAAGTGTCTTTGGGAAAAGAGTTCCACTGCTTAGTATGAGAAAAGGTGCACGTGGATGTTAAGAAATTAATTTGCCTTTAAGAATGTCACCTGATTCCCACGGGTCCAATTCTACATGATGGATGTGAGAAAGAAAAAAGCACACCACTAAAAACACCATCTGCCAAACAACAGCATGTGCCCTCACGTGCTCAGGTGCTGCAAGGAGTGGCAGTGGAGAGAAGTCTTCACAAAGGCCAAGAGCTGGGCTACAAGGTTAAAGTCATACAACAAAACATGTCAACCCCAAGAAGCAGGTGTTTGAGTGGTGCAATGCATAAACAAGCACTGTCTCACCATGAAACCTCCAGCCCAAGCTGTGCTAAAGTCTTCACAGCAACATGACGACCTCTAACCATTACACACATCTTTGCAGCTCACAGTTTACCCCTCTCCCTCCCTCCATTCCTCCCTCTCTCCCTCCCCAAGGAGACAGGAAATACAAGTTAAGGTCCTCATAGCAATGGTTCATTTCCCACTTGGGAAGGCTAAGTATTGTCAACATTTTTATTTAGGAAAACAAGGTTGGACATGGCATTTTTCTTCCCTCTAAGGGCAGCAGTACATGAATCACACATCAGTCATCCAGTAATATAGAGGTGGCCAACTGTGTCTGAAGTAGTCACTTGTAAAGGATCATAACCCAAGCAGTGTTGTTTTTCTGCAAACAGAAGGCTCCATGGTTCTTGAAGATTATCTGAATTTTGCACTGGATGTCAAGAATTCTGTCCCAAACTCTTAAGTCACCATTTACACCAAGAAGAGCCAGCAAGTGAAAAACTGTTAATTTATTGATTCAGAGTTTTTTTTTTAAACAATCCCCAATACATGCAGTTCAGGGCTAAGTATCACATTTGTAGCACATTGTTTGAGTCTTGACACAAAAGTATGCATCACCTGTATAATCCCATCACATCTTTCTTCCCCCAGCCTCCGTAATACCTGTTTGGGGGTGTTTTATTACACATTCATAGAGCTCAAAAAGCATGTTATTACTGGTTTCCTTGCCACCTCCCCTCCCAGCTACCCCCACCCTGGGGTTAATTTTTAAAGGTGGAACATTCAGTTTCGATGTATTCAGTTCACTGACAAACTAGGGCTTATTGTGTGCTCAGGAGGACCCTGCTTCTGCTTTCAGAATGTTTTCACCTACACTTTGGCTATTACTCCCGTAAGCTATCATCCACTCATTTATCTCCAGGGGGATTTCTGTTCTTCCCTGTGGATCCTCACGCAGTAACACAGCTTTCTAAACAAACCTTTAAATCTGAACTAGCATTAAAGGAAACTGTTAACTAGATTCTTTAAGATTTATTTCAATGCATATATAAAAATTCTTCCAAGTTTGTCTCCCAAAGCAGCTCTGCTTCCACTCACATCTACACAGCACCTGGGAGAACCTAAGCCATTTCCCTGAGTAGGCACAGACTGTGGGACACTAAGCACCAGCTCTCTCTGGAACTCAGCACCTGATTCGAGAGCACCACCTTTCAAAGGGTCACAAGACCCAAGCCAGGGGGCAGTGTCCTCCCCAGAGCACACTCTGGAACAGAAACTTAGTGTCTGCTCATTTCTCCCTCTCAAGAAGTATGCTTCCTTCTCAAGATCTACCTTTAGGTCATTTTCCTTGGTTCCTTTTCTTTTACCTGCCCTTCCGCCAGACACTCTCTCCAAGCCCCCAGGGATCTGAGCTCTTCAGTCTCCTGTTGTCAGTTGGATGAGAGTTCTTTCCTCTCTGCAAGGGACTACATGAGCCCTAAGCCTGGAGCAGTGTCATGCTAGAGACCATCCAAGCGCCTCATGAACTGCATAGGCACTTCACTAATTGGTAAAAAGCCCCAAGAACACCTGCTCCATGCTATGTACTCAAAGGCTTCTTCCACCCAGCTGCCCACAGGGATAGAAGAGTAACATGGTCAGCTGATAAGAACCTGGAGAAAGTGGGCTGCCACCAAGCCCTGGAGGGAATGTCACTTAGTGCTTCATTAGTATCGCTCTCACCATGGGATTTCTCAGCTGAGGCAACCTTGCAGTTACGCACACTCATGGCTGCCAATGATGATACACGGATCTGAACTCAGCACAGGAAGCTTCTGTTCTCACCCTACCAGGTCTATGTTCCTGAACACAGGCAGTACCTGAGATGACAGTGTAACACGACCCTGTTCCCCATGTTTTTTGCTTTTCTTTAGGAAATAATTAAGTCCTTGTCATAGGCACTTTTATCCTGTTATAAGGTATGAAGCAAACAAATGCAACTTACTGAGATGAGTTTAAGAACGAATATGCTAACTGAAAAGGATATTGGGTTAGGTAAATTTACCATAATCTAAAATGTAAGGCTAGACTCCCAATCCTACACACACGCATGTACGTGCACACACAGATTTATACACACTCCTTAGGAACTTTCCAAGACCATCTCCTAACTCAGGTAAACATTTTAAAATTTCAGGGGAGAAAGGTCCATTTGGACACAAAATGGATTTAGAGACAGGTAAAGAAAAGGTCTGAACTAGACTACTTCAGTTTGGGAAAGAACAGCCTAGGCATCAAGTCCAGATCCAGAAGGGAGCAAGTACTTTAAAGCTAAGTCTAAGGCATGAAGAGAGGTGAAAGTATAGGTGCCATGAAAGTAAACCGTATGCTTATAAAGGAAGAATTACTGCTGTGTCACAGCTGTAGCTGCAGATGCAAGGGCAGGCAGGTCAGCTAGGAAGGCCAAAGGAGAGGGGTGGAAGCTCACTGTCTAACTCCTTTCTAGATGCTTTTATTATGGCTGGGGTACCCAAGGGAAAGAACTGGGGTTACTGCTCAACCAAGACCCTCCAGTAAGCTCCCCTTGCTTTGTCCAGATAGGCAAGAAAGAAAAAGAAAGAAAGAAAGAAAGAAAGAAAGGAGGGAGGGAGGGAAACAAAAGGCAGAAGGGAAGAGGCCAAGAGTGATAAGGAAGGCTTGAGGGGTGGGGAGCAAGGAAGACACACAGTGGCACATCTCCCTGATAACCAATATTTCAGGCTGCCTTACTGTAAGGGCATTTTGAAGGTCTGTGATAATCTGAAACACTGAGTTTTGCTGCCTGACATACTGATACAGGTTCAGCTGAGAATTCACATCTTATTTTTGATTTTCAGGTAGAAAAAAAATGTACATATCAAGATACAGAATGTACAATGTAGGCAGGCAGTATTAGTATGAGAACCTTAACTAAATGTATTTCCTGGCTTTAGGATCTTATTTTTAATCCATAAACTCAACTCTTATATATAAGAAGAGTTTCACTTGTTCACTAAGTTCCCACCATCCAAACGACAAAATAGAATTTACATTTAAAGATAGGACCTGCTACCAATACCAATATGATTTTATTGGAATATGGAATGTAAACAGATGCTTCAAACAATCTAACCTTAAAAAATATATGGCATTATTAAATAGTTAATAAAGAAATCCTATGTGTGATACAGTGGTAGACACCTCTACCTCCAGCCTAGGCAAGTTAGGTCCCCAGAGCTGTGGCAATGGCTCTGTAGATGGCAGGAAGGGGACTAATGGCAAATCATGTTGTTGACAAGTTCCTAAAATGAAATCAGCCCTATTCTTTTTTAAAAAATAAAACCTAGCTTTCTTTGTTAATGTCAAGGTTAGCACAGCAGATCCAAAGCTGTAACACTTGCCCCAGGAGGTCCACTTCTCTCCCCAAGTCCCCTGCATATTTCTCTCCTCTCAGTTGCTGGAGTTATGGGATGGTCTTACCCATACAGTATCAGTATATCACACATACTCATATGTCACATATCCAAGTTCAAACTGCTATTACCCTGATTACAACTGGAAATTGTTGTGTGGGTAAAAAGAGGGAAGACAGGTGGCGATACTTTTCCCCCCAGCAAATCTTTCCTGAATAAGTCCTTATAGGATGTTTTCGCCCTCTTTGACCTGCCTGAAAATTGACTTTCCAGCTTTAGTTATGGTGAATAAAAAGGTCACGGTTTCAGAGAAGTGCATTAAAACAGGTGCACACACATGGATGTGGTGGGAAATGCTGAGGTCTTCCTTAGAAGGCTGCCCCGCCCCCCAAAAAAGGCTAAAGGAAAAAAATCAGCAACAAGATTCTATGATTAGGCAAATCAACAGAGGTTATGGTGAGCTCCAAGTTATGCACATAGCAGGGACATTCTGATGAGACCAATGGACCTGTTCATAACATCTCACGGTTTCAAGTGATGTCTCCTGACAGCAAAGAGGACTTTGTGAAAGTGACTGCAGTTTGCTTCCAAATGAAAACATTTAGAGGGAAACTGCAGGGATGAGGTACATTTCTTGGAGAGCTCATGTCATAAAAAAATACATAAAACATGAATTTGTAAAAGAGCTTAAAAAAAATACTGTCACTGTTTTAATATCCTTTTCATAAATGAGGCTGGTGTGTCAGTGTAGACTGCTGACGTTTTGCTAAAACTTGAGCCTGAATTCTCATGAAAGGAAACCAGACCACAGTGGAATAGACAGGAAGTCAGATATTCAGAGCTTGTTGACCGAACGGGTTAATCAACAGTGGTGTTCTGTTAAACGAAGAAAAATGTACAACAACTCCGAGTTTCTCATCTCCCATGCATTCCAAAGGGAGAGTCCCCTTAGATCCTGAACTATATGCATCATCACACTGCACAACTGCAGCTCCCTGGAGACTAGTACTGGGGAGTTTCTTTTGACAGACTTTTAGGTCTTTACTCTTCTTTGCCTTAGAAGGAATGATTAGAATTTCTTTTTATCACACTGTAGTTTCCTTCAAGATTTGTGTTTGGTGGTTGGTTTTATTGGCAAGCATCAATGCCGCATTACCCGTCGCTTTCCAGTCTTCATCGTGCCGCTGTGATACCACTGGAAAGTACAGCATTCTCTGCGCAAGGCTGGGACTGCTCCTTCACCACAGGGTCTGCAAGAAAGCAGGATGAGCGTTGCCATGTCAGAGCTGATTGCACAGAACACCATGACAAACCCACCCTGCCACAGTGAGACAGACACCCAGACTCAGGGCAAGCCAGCGTCAAGAGGACAATGTGGGGTGGGGGGCGTGGATGACGACACAGAACTCCGGTCATATAAAAAGACCAAAGGAATTGTTCTTGTAGTTAACTCTTCTTCCTCAGAGCAGACTCAATTGCTGAGAGGCACAGAAACCTTAATTTCTCACTGCTTAAAATTCCCACTAATTTTAGGGCTGGGGATTTAACTCAGTGGTGCCACCATCTGCCTCACAAGTGGAAGGTCTGGAGTTCAATCCCTGGTATCAAAAAAAAAAAAAAAATTCCCACTAATTTTATGTGTTATTTTCTTTGAATACCAGCACCATATCCATCTCCTAATTTCTTTCAAGCATGTGCAATAATAAGCACTTCAGAGGAAAAGGTGAACAAAACCAGTCAGGAGAAGCTTATTAATTTTAAGCAACAGTAGTTTAAAATTTTTTTAACTGAAGTGTGCTGTGCATCCAGAAAAGTAGTCAGATCATAAATTATATATAATAAACATCAGTATGTATTCTTAACCTGATTTACCCGGAAGGATAAGAAAAGCAATCTGTGTAATAAAGTAGAAAGAAGATGTCTGGGTTTCACCTGTCTAAGGTCCAAAAGGGTAAGACCTTTTAAATTTGCTGTCTCCTCATGTTGTGGTCCTAGATTCAAGACCAAGCAATGTACCTTCAGGCAAGACTTAAACTCCAGAGGGAAAAAAAGGAGGTGGAAAGATAGCACACTGGTCAAACAGAAGGGAGGAGAGTTTTCATATTGATTTAGACAGTAAACTGAAGCAAGTGATTGTCACTAAACCTCCCTATTCTCCAGCTTTCTCCCTGACCGGATTAAATCCTCTCACACAGCAGGAAAGTGTGTTTGAAACACCTTTCTTCAATGAGAAGAACTATATACACACAGAACCACAAGCAAGCACACAGACTGAATGCACACATACACTTCTGAGATATCGCAAGTTGTCCTGCTGAATCCCACTCAGGTCTTTCCTGCTCTCCTGCCCTCAAATGCCTATTTATTTACTGCCTTCTTTAGAAATACACTATGGCTATCTTACTACTTTTAACCAATTAGGTTTGTTTTAGAAAGGAGAAATAATTTTTAATTATGTTTCCACACAAATGTACACATTTGAAAACACAATTTAAATTTTCATGATTTATGGGATCAGGGTGACAGGAGTGGTCAAACAGTTGAATCCAAGGGAGCTACACTCGGTGAATAAGGAAACACCTTTGGGGATTAAGAAACTGATTTGTGCTGGGTGCAGTGGTACACGCCTATCATCCCAGCTACCCAGGCGGCTTAAGTAGGAGGATTATTAGTTTAAGGCCAGCCTGGACAACTTACAAAGATCTTGTCTCAAAATTAAAATAATAAATAAAAAGGGCTGAGGATGTAGCTGAGTGATAGAATGCTTCTGGGCTTGATTCTCAATAATGCGAAAAAAGAAAAAGAAAGAATTTGATCTTCAATGTTGTCTCAATGGTTCAAAATGAATGCAGTCAAATCCAAGAATGATCCCAATTATCTAGAATTCTCCTAGCTGGCTTTAAAAATAAAGGGTGAATTTCTTTTCTTTTAATAAGTACACCCCTTGAAAACAGTCTTGGAGACTCACAGAAGTATGGGTGTTCCATGGCCTCTTTGGCAGTCAGTCTCTGTTGATGGTCATATCGCAGAAGTTTGTCCAGAAGATCTAGGGCCTCAGGGCTGACAAGGTGTCTGTTTTCACTATGGATGAAGTTTTCCCAGCGTTTCCTTGAATGCCTGAGAAGAAAAGTGAAGCATTAATGTTCTGAAACTAAATCCAGTAAGAATCCTCTTAGAATACTGCACTGATTCTAAGCTTAGTAAACATCAGTTTCCTTGGTACCCACTCTACCCCCTAGTTACAGTGTCCTGAGAAAAAAACTGTACTCTTGATTAGATAAGTAGAATTAGTTAGAACATCTATAGCTGACTTAGAATCTGTGGTGCCTTTCTGGATTATTTTTTTATGCCTCAGGCTTTCTGTCAGTTCTGGGTAAGGCATGGTGGTGACTGAGTAATTTTTGTTGGTCAGCAGATATATTTGGAGGGCTGGCCTCAGGAACATGGCAGTTTCTTTAAAAATATTTGAAAATTGTTAGCCAAGCTTTACTTTTAACACTACTGAACTGTACCTGAAAATTCAATATACCTTCATACTTGTTACCTTATAGAAGATCCATTACAGAGAACAAGAAACTTAATTTCTTATTCAAAGAACTCCAGCTTTCCTAGATTTGCCATCAAAATAAGTACATGCTGGGCCGGGGATTTAGCTCAGTGGTTCTGGTGCCTGCCTCGTAAGTGCAAGGTCCCAAGTTTGATCCCCGGTACCAAAAAAAAAAAAGTACATGCTATACCAAAACTTTTTCTCATAATACTAATTTTGTTTTCTGTTTTCTATTGATTAAACAGGTTATCTGACAGCAGTAAAATGACTAAAAGATACATGTAAATAATGTCTAAGTATATCACAATAAATTAAAGAAAATCACATAGAAAAAAAGGATATTTCAATTTTGATATGACTAGAAAGAGGTAAGAAAGTGATTTTGGCTAATCTTCCACTTCTGAAATGGGGTAAAGCAAAGCCCTCTTTCTTTTTCTCTTACTTACTGTCCCAAGATATCGTTGAAGTGTGGATCTAGGTCTATGTGATATTTCTTCAGATAGCCATACAGCTCGTCTGTCCCCAGAACCTTGGCAATGCGAACAAGCTGAAACATAAGACAAACTGACCAAATTACTGAGCACAGAAGTCACTGTGAGCCTGAGGACACTGGACCAGGGAATCAAGAGACTCCACAGCATATCCAGGGATGAGATAGAGATCCAAGTCTAGGATGGGGAAAGATATTCAAGGACACTGAGGTTCACATGAATGAAAAATTTCAAACTGCCTTTAACAGGCTAACATAAGCTAGGACAATAATCTTGAAGGTAACAATTATGGTCTCAATCTAATGATCAGAATCTAGTTTTACTAGACAAGCAAGAGCCTGACTTCTTTACAAAGTCACTTTGGAAGCTGAGCATACATAGGGTTATCTGTCTCTGTATCTTTGGGGACCTCATGACCACAGACAAAATTCTGCAAAAAATTTTTTCCTTAAAGAAAAGCTTATGTGCAGACAATGAGTGACATTTAGTGGCTCAAGGCGAGTATGTCTTTCTAAATATGCTATTTTCTTGGCGATCATCTCCAAATAAGTAAGAGCTAAATAGTATTTTCTCACCTGGTCGTAATTATCCTGCCCATGGAAAAAGGGTTCCTTTCGAAAGATCATGCTTGCTAACATACAGCCCAAACTCCACATGTCCAAGCTGTAATCATACATCTGAGGAAACAAGGGCAGTCAGTCAAGGGTGTTAGAAATCCATTTTTCTTTCTTTTTTTGTGGTGCTTGGGATCAAACCCAGGGTCTGGCACATGCTAGTCAAGGGCCCTATGACTGAGTTACATCCCCAGCCCAGAAATACATTTTTTTCTGAGTTTCTAGTCTTCATTTGACCTTTGTAGATATTTTAGAATTAAAAGCCACCCCTCCCACCAAAACAAAGTAGCTGAGAAAAATCTGCAATTAGTATTCTAGGGTAGAATAATGATTGGGTTTTGAATGTATCCAAACTAACTAAATAAATGACACACCAGGAACAGCCCTAAGGAAGTATAAAAATAACCCAGAACGCCTTTTCTACCAAGTTCACCTGATAGTCCACAAGGAGCTCTGGTCCCTTGAAGTACCTCGAGGCTACACGAACATTGTACTCCTGAGCAGGATGATAGAACTCTGCTAAGCCCCAATCTATCAGACGCAGCTAAGAGTATGAAGAAATAAACATGTGAAAGGACTGTTTCTAGATTCCTGTGCCTAGGACAAGGCCACATCACATTTCTGGTAATAACAATTATACACGCTCACACAAAAAATGGGAGCAGGTACACTGGTTAAAAAAATTATACTTTCAGAGGCCGGAGATTTAGCTCAGTGGTTTCGCTGCCTGCTGTGCAAGTGCAAGGACCCGAGTTCGATCCCTGGTATAAAAAAAAAAAAAAATCAAAACCAAAGTATCTTATTGGGGCCAGGGATTTAGCTCAGTGGTTCCAGCGCCTGCCTCACAAGCACAAGGACCCGAGTTCGATCCCTGGTACCAAAAAAAAAAAAAAAAAAAAAACTTTCAGCAACTGCATCAGAGGGCATTTCTGGAGCAGAGCACTCAGAATGTTTTTTAAATCACCTTGGTTTATCACTCTCTCTAGATCAATAAAACTCAATCTTTTTTTTTTTCCCTGCCTACATACTACTTTCAAGTGTAACATATTCCCCCATCTTAGTTTTCAACATAAGCTCCAGGTATAACTAAAAGAGCTGAGGACACCCCAGGACTGATGAACTGCTCTAGCTTGTCATTAACCCTAATACTAGCTGATCCATTTACTCACCAATTAGGGATAACCAGAGTTCGATATCAAAATTAGGAAAGACTCAATTGTACTTTTTAGGCCAGGCAGACTGGTGTAAAGATCATTAAGTGAAGCAGAAACCACCAGCTGTAGTTTCTTTCTGAGGCCCCTGGGAAAATTAAGATCAAAATAAAAGAAGTGACTACAGGTAGGGTCATCTGTCCATTTTCCTTGCAGAAACCAACACTGGAGACTGGGGAAGTAATAGTAACAAGTCTGCCAAAGAAACCACCTTGGTAACAGATAGCTGCGAGGCCAGCTCTAAGCCTTCTAACAAAGGCTTGTTATTGCCTGGCTGTAATGGTACCTTTTTTTGTTGGTGATCTATCATGACATTGTGAGGTTTCACATCCCTGTGCATGATTCCCTTGCTGTGGCAGTAATCCAGAGCCTAGTAGGTAAGAAAGCACAGAGAAAATTAAGCAAACCCGCTACCACCCCTCAACACAAGCACACTCTTATTATTCGTGACACCTTAACTTGAATGAAGTCTACCAAGGGGCAGCTTAGTGCCAGTAAGATAAGCGGGGAAAAAAATGTTTCGGCAAGTGCCCCTTGCTCTCTGAGCACACCACAGCTGGCAGCTGGTAGAAAGGGGGCTATAGAAGACTATGTTGAAGGTTTCCTTAAAAGAGAGGAATGAGAAATCAGATTTGAAGCCCTCATTGGAGTCACCTCTCATAGTGATTCAAAGGACAAGCCAGAATTCATGTGGACGTGACGAATGACACTCAAACATGTCTTTCAACATGACTGGTCTTTTAGACAAGTGAGCCACGTGGGCTTTGTAGATTAAAAAGCATTAATATTTTCCTTAAATACAATTCCTGAGGCAGCTGGCCTTTCAGAAGTATCATTGCTCTAAGGGAGAAAATCACTTCTCATAAGATAATATGCAGATAAGATTCTTAAGTTTGGAAGTGAATGATTTTTAGTAAATTTAGAGAGCTCCACAACCCACTAGTCTAGTATTAGAACTTTTCCATCACCCTCCAAAATTTCCCTTAAACTTGTCTGTACTCACTCCATACTTCCCACAATTTCTAACCATTGATTTGCTATCTGGGGCTATGGATTTGTCTTTTCTGGACATTCATAAAATCCCATCATACAGGTAAGTACTATCTTCTTTCATTCAGCATGTTTTCAAGATTCATCCATGCTGCTTTTTTCTTATTCAATAGCATCCTATTTTATGAATACGGTATTCTACTTGAAGGGATTTTGGGTTACTTCTACTTCTGGCTTTTGAGAACAATGCTGCTATGAATATTTAAGCACAAATCTTGAGGGATACATGCTTTCATTTCTCTTGGTTACATTTCTACCAGCACAGGTGCTAGATTATTTGGTAAGCTCAACTTTTTAAAGAACTGCCTAATTATTTTCAAAGGTTGTACTATTTTACAGTCCTACTAGCAACATCTGAGGGTTTCAGTTTCTCCAGTTATAACAACAAAAAATGGTTGCAGATACTGCCAAATGCTTGTTTCCAGAGGAACAAGTTTGACTTGATTTGGGAAACCCTGAACTAGACTAGGAGGACAGTATACTCGGCATCTTTCCATTGAAGAAATACATAAGCCAGAGAATGATTTCTAGGTTTAGCACTCCAGGACTAAGCTCCTTTGGTCTGTATCAAATTTTGTTTTCCCCAGACACCAAAGAACACACAATGTATAATGCTTTTTATTTGAAGATCAAAAACAGTCAATACTAAACTGTGGAAATATAGATAAAAATATAATTTCCAGAAGAGAGAATACTCAAACGAGGTGGCAAGAGAACATTCTCAGATGTTCATCACACTCTCAGCCCTATTTAATGGAAATGTTCTGCAGCAATGCAAAAAGTCTATACTTGCACTGTACAATATAGTGACCACCAGCCACAGAAGCCATACCAGCCACTGAACACTTGAAATGTGACCAATGTGACTAAGGAACTGAATCCTTTTTTACTTAATTAAAATGGCTTCCTAGGGCTGAGGATTTAGCTCAGTGGCACCATACCTGCCTTGCAAGTGCAAGGTCCTGAGTTTGATCCCCAGTACTGCAAAAGAAAAAGAAAAGCTTCCAAATGGGAATCAGAGACTGTACGGGATACTGTAGTTCTATGTACATGTGAGCACAGGTTTTACATATATAAAATCCAAAATTAAGTACACTTAAGATTTATTCACTTCATTTTGTAACAGTTGCAGCAAGATTCCAAAGTGCCTTTGTGATAGTCCCTTATGGAACCAGGGGTTGAGGGCACACCTTCCCAAATCTGAATCAGATTGCTCTGCCACAAAACTTGGGAGTCACTGAAGAGTCACATAGGGGCCCTCAGACTCAGCTACTTCTACACTTTCAATAAAGTTAAGTATTTCCACTTCCCAACTCCTTTTTTTTCCAAAAGAGAAAATGTAACAATGTTGATTCTGTTATTTTGCCTAGTCTTTGCCAGAGGAATAAATTAATTAGAACCACAATGTCTGGGACATGAAAAATATGTGATGAAAGCAAAGGCTGAATAAATACTGTAAGGTAATTAATTCTTTCGCTGAATTCACTAGTCAAGACTCCCTGTGGAGTTACTGACATGGTTTTAAATTCTTTGGTGAATTATTTAAATTCTTTGGTGAATTATTTCAGCTTTAAAATCTGGTATAGTTTCTGACCATTAAGCATAAAAGACATTTTTCAAGTTTCATTTGGATTCTAAGCCTTATTAGCTCTTTCTGCCTATTAGTACTGCTAGGAAGCAAGATGGACACCAGGCATTGAATGACATCTGTGTGAAAAGCCCGTGCAGATTTGCATTATTGAGATGTCTTTATTGAAGGATGACTGTACCAGGTTATAAAAATTTAGCTAGCTAAAAACTACAAAAATCTTAATGCTGGACTTAAGTTTTCATGGGGTGACTGCATTTCTTTCTTTTTCTTTTTTGTTTTTTGAGGCAGGGTCTTGCTAAGCTCAGGCTGGCCTTGAACTCCTAGTAACCCTCCTGCCTCAGCCTCCTGAGTGCTGAGATTACAGGTGTGTATTGCCTCGCCCTGGAGCATGGAGTCTTCTGGGAAGACCACTAAGAAAGTACACAGGACATAGCACTGCAAACTTCTTTCCATACCAAGGCTTCAATTATAGTCTGGAGTGCACAAGGAAAAAGGGGGGTTCAGTCAAGTTCCATCTCCTTCATCTTTCTGACAAGATCAGTAGACATAGAGTGAATCCTGAAACGCACCACCTTAGCTTTCTCTAATGACGTGGTTTATGCAGGCACTCACATGAGAAAATGCTCATTTCATAGTGCTAGTTCTTTACATTCCCATTCTCTAAAGTCCAGCCTTCATTCAATTTGGTATTTTGTTGAAACAACTCTTCACAACCCCATGAAAACCCCATTTTGGCAATTTTCTTCAATAATGATCTTTTTCAACTGTATCTTATTTCCAAGCTTCTTAAATTGAGATTCAAGCCCCACCCCCCAAACTTCATGCAATACTGTATATTTATACAATGCACTTTGGATGGAGTTCATAACTTTCACTGGGTTCTCAGTGATCCATGACCCTAAAAAGTTAGAACCCACTCGTTTATACCATTATACTCATACCATTTTATAAATCTCTTTTTAGAATTCTTTGAATTAGCCTAGACAGACTAAAGAAGTAATACTCAATATTTTGTACTCGGTAATGCTTCAAAATTTCATAGTGTTATGGGATTAGTAAGTCATTTAGAAGGTCCACCCACTAGCTCTCCCTGCATTAACTAGCTGTGTTTAGAAGGAAAGAATAAGCAGTCTCATTCAAGAAGGGGATCTTGAAAGATAGGGATAAAAAAAGACTGTAAATGTCTGCCATTCCCATATAAAAGAACTGGTGACTATTTCTATACCCTTGGAAGACAAGCTTCTCCATATGATTTGCTTTGGCCAATAGGACACTTACAAGCATGACATAGACAGAGGGTTGAAAAGTGCCTATGTACTGAGGTTTGCCTGTCTTGCTGCTAGGAACCTGAGACCACCATGGGAAGTATAGCCTGCACTAACCTCCTGGAAGATAAGAACTCAGCTGTCCCAGCTCAGATATGTGAATGAGGCCATCCTGGACTATCCCATCAGAGTCAGGTTGGCCCAGATCTAAAGAATCACCCAGCCAACTCATGGAATCATGAGAAACCACAAATCATTTTATTTTTTGGTACCGGGGATTGAACTCGGGTCCTTGCGCTTGTGAGGCAGGCAGCAGAACCACTGAACTAAATCCCTGGCCCACAACAAATCATTTTTTAAAGGTCATTAAGTCTGGCATCATTTGTTATACAGAGAAAATTAAAAGAATTATTAAGTGGCAAAAAGAAAATCCAAGAGTTATGACAGGTTCTAATCTCTGGTATAAAACTCTAGTACCACTTGACTTGGCCACTCTTTCCAATTCTCCCAGAAATTTTCCATGTGAGATCCTACAGTAGAGGCCTCAACATAAAGTAAACCTCACTAAATTCTCTGGGCATCAGAAAATATTTTGCTTGTGTTTGCCCTGTCCTTTCAAGAACTTCTTTAATGAATAAGTCTGAAAAAAGTGCACTGTTTATGAATGCTACTTACTTTAAGTAGTTCATACATATAAAACCGGATATCAAAGTCTGTCAGGATCTGGTAGAGTTGCTGAAACAGATTTTAGAAAACACACAAGTTATTTTCTTTGCATCTCATCATCCTAAGTGTCAGCCATTCTCTGTAAAGTTAGTCCTTAAGTTACTAAGGAATCTCATGGCTTTTCACCACCTGATTTGGAATAAATGGTAAATATGAGGAGGCTAATATTTCAATTGTCAGAAGGAAAAATAAATTTACTCATTCGTTCATTCCATAGGAGGAAAATATTTAAGCCAACTTGGATCTTTTCTATTTAACGCTCTATAACTTTCTGTCTTTAGGTTTTATTGAGACAGGGTCTCACTATGTGGTCCAGACTGGCCTTAAACTCACTATGCAGCCCAGGCTGGCCTTGAACACACAGCGATCCTCTTGTCTCAGCCTCCTAAGTGCTGGGATTATAGGCATATGAAACCATGCTGATGCTCCATAACTTTAATAACCACAATTACATTATTGTGAAGTCTAAATTGTCCAACTGTCCTCATATTCTTACTGCACATCAAACAAACCAACCCCACTGCAGCACTGAAGTATATTCTGGAGAAATGAGTGCCAAGTGGACAGCAGGGTCCCTCAGCTGATGTACTATATAGTGTTAAGATAACCAGGGAGTTTGTGAAAGAAACATGAGGAAAATTAGGTAGGTGCTCTAGTGTTTGGAGATGGTAAAGACTTTCTAAAAACCTATGCCTTCTGCTTGAAAAAACCAATTACAATCTGGAAAAAATTTCCTAGGCATTAACTCATGTTTTAGGGGCAAGAAAAAAGGAACAGGGGAAAGAAGAAAACATAGGGATGCCAAAAGTTATCACAGGCCAAAATGCTATACAAATGAAAACTTTCATTACTGATAATCCAAAGACTCACCCATAGGGAGTTTTAAAAAAATTAAATTTCTTAGAATCAGATTACAAGGTTCACTAAATGACAAACCCTTGTCAAAAACTATACAACTATTTTTGATATTCAGTCAACTCAAAGTAAATCTCTCTCCCCATCAATCTAGGCAGCACTTTCTGTATAATTACTAAAAAATCTTTTTCTCTATTGGAAGACTCAAGCAGCATAGGGAATCTAAGGAGCACAGAACATTGTGTACAATGTGTCTATGTAAAGCAGGAAACAAAACCACACATTTTTTCTATCTGTAAAAATGATAAAGAAGGAGCTAATTAAAAGTTGTTCCGTGTGTGTATGAATAGGCTACATTTCTTCTTTTCACTCCCCCTTTCAGAAAGTGAGTAACTCTCCTTTCCAGCTTTTTTTTTTTTTTCTCTTATCAGTACTGGGGATCAAACTCAGGACTTTGTGCTTTTGAGGCAGGCGCGGCACCGCTGAGCTAAATCCCTGGCCCTAGTTTCCAGCTCTGTAAGAAGCTACTGGCTCAGGAACTGAAATGCACAGGCCAGTACACTGCTGTGTCTTGAAGGCGCCCCAGTGCTGGGGAAGATCCTGGTTGGGGCTGAACTCTACTCAGGAGAGCTTCAGCTCCACAATAACCAAACCCTGGGTTTTTTGTCCTCTCAGCTTTGCCCTGCAAGACAGACTTCTTAGCCAGCATTCAGCCACAACCAACAGCCAGGATACACAGATGCAGGCTTAAGATACCATCTTAGGTGTTAAGGAGATCACTTCCAGAGACTGTGCTAAACTGAATGTGAAGTCAATAAATAGCCAGTGAAAGAGAAAAGATCAAATTCTCTAACCTCAGAGAGCTGGGATATTTTACTTCCAGAAAACCAACATAGGCTATTTTATTCAGATTTTCATTTGTGAAAGGCTTCCCTTTCATATCACATGGTATCTATACCAAGCATCTTTGTAAACAGTGTTAAGGCATAAAAATAAATATCCTTAGACTGCCAACATAGTATTTCTAGCTATTCCAACCAGTATCAATTTTACTTAATACAAAAGATACCAGCTTTATAACAGTGCTTGGACCTTATATACTACAAAGCCCTAGATGACTGGCTGTCATCTGCCCTTTGCAGGAGCTCTGAGTGGGAGGACACAAACTTACATCTACAACATTTAGCCTTCTGGGCCTAAAATTCAGGGTCAGCCTGGCCTCCTGTGACTTTGTAGCTCTGATCCCCACACAATCCCCAAGATCACTCTTCTTTGACCACACAAGCCCGTGTTTGTTGCCACCACTCTTCCCTCTCCAGCATCCCTCCCCTTAACATGTAATGTTAAACTTATCCCTTCTCATCCACTTTCTAGAGAGCAGAGGCTGGCCTCTACCTTCTCCAGGCCCCCAGGCATTTGCTCGCAATGTGAAGTGTTCACAGGATACTGAGAACAACAGCACCCCCAGAAACACAAGTCTGCTTCACTTTAAGAATCCAGTGCCAACATTCCCTCCACACTGTGACATACACACATGATGGGGGGAATTGGGGTTGGTGGTGGCCACCAGCTTGGTGATTCAAGATCTTTGAACTATCTCCATCTCCCAAGCAAGGCAAGGGTCTACTGTGGCATTAGGTAGTACAACTGTTTTCTCCAGAACTCAACTATATTCTAAGTCTTGTACAGCAGAACAGTATATCTACTCCACACCAAGGATGGTGGTTTTCTGTCTACACATATGTTTTTATGATGCTCACCAATCAATGGAACAAAACAGACTGTCTTGCAAGAAACAGAAGAGTCTGCAACAAATTAGAAAGAGAAACTCGACAAGAACCACACTTTCCCTCCAGCTATGTGGAAAACAGCAACTGCAAAATGTTTTTAGGAAGTTAGCTCTGCTCACATTTTCATGAAGTGACTTATCGAAAACAAAGCAAGTCTATGCTTCCCAGAAGATTATGATGGTGGAGAGGAAGAAACTACTCATGTTTGCTGCAAAGCCTCAAACACACTACTAATTCCGTAGAAAACAGTTCTATTCCAGGACTACTCTCAAGGGCCAGTAATTGAAATTTCTTGCGGGGGATTTAGCTCAGTGGTTCCACCGCCTGCCTTGCAAGTGGAAGGACCAGAGTTCAATCCCCCGGTACCAAAAAAACCCCCAAAAACCAAAAACCAAAAACCACAAACCCTGCAAAGTCTAAGGAAGTGGATGGCAGACACAGCAACTTAATCCTCAGGCTCAGGGACCCTGGGTCCAAAGTCACAGACACCAGAAAATGGCCATGAGGGTCCTCACTCAATCCTGCTGCAAGGATGCACAGGACCCTTCAGATGCTGGGAGAGCAACAGCCACATAACCACCCAGACCTCAAGGCCCACTTCCCACTGACTGTCATGCAGGAAGACTTGTGACCAGCACACAGAATGCATGCATCCTGTCCTATACACAGCTCAGTCTATGAGGTCCAGAAAGCTCAGGCTCCTCAAGCAGAGGGGGAAAAACAGTGGGCGGATAAGGATATAAAGTGCAAGTAACTTTGTAAATAGGGAAGGGAGCACAGGGTATGGGGAAAAAATAAGAACCAAGATGCATCATGGTTACATTACATTACAAGCACCCAATGATAAATGTAAACGTATTGTATACCTAAAATGTATCAATAAAAGAATTTAAGAAAAAAAAAAAAGGGCAAGTGAATGTGGTGTTTTAACATCAGAATGTCTAGTTCAGATATTGCTAATTTGCAATCCCCAAGATCAAGATTAAAGCCAAGGTCAACATTTCTAGAACAGTTAACCAAGCAAATAAAAGTTAGAGCCAGTCACCTAAAATGTCACTTATTTTCTTAAAGACTTACAAAGAAATAAGAAAATAATGTTAATGTTCTATAATCATAGTACATTTGTTCCCCTGGTTGAGGAAACTGAACTTAAACTCTAACAATTAACAAAGCCTCACAGAGGCGCTGGGATTTAGCTTAGTGGCACCATGCCTGCCTCAAAAGTGCAAGGTCCTGAGTTCAATCCCTGGTACCACCAAAAAAAAAAAAAAAGGCTTCACAGGATCAGCTAGCTCAGGTCTACCACAAGGTAAGTGATTTAGCAAGTTTCTAAATATCAGTGTGAATCTACCATTTTCTTAGGAGCGAGCCTATTCAGAGTGTCTTATCAATGTTTAAACTGCTCAAATGATGCTTTTTGGGGATCTATTCATTTTTATACTGTTCCAAAAGCATAGAAAACTGAAAAGTATATCTCAACAGAACCATTTTCTCCCTTGAGACAATTGTGATTTAGGTGTGCCAACTATCCATTTTAACTTAGAGGTTGGCTTTTCCCACTAGTTTTCAAGTTCTGTCTTTTGTTCTAAGTATCATCACTTTTTAAAAATTATAACTCTGACACATGAAATGTTAACTGGTTTTAAGTAGAAACTGATCAAACCAGTACCTGTACCATACACTAAATACAAGGGAAAAAAATTAGTGAGGCCATAGGAGATTTGAACTAAATTAACAAGTGTGGGATAAAAATGACCATGAGAGGCCAGGGATTTAGCTCAGTGGTTCCTCCACCTGCCTTGTGAGCACAAGGTCCTGAGTTCGATCCCTGGTACCAAAAAAAAAAAAAGAAAAAGGAAAGAAAAAAAACCAATGACCATGCATTAAAATCACAAGACAAACTTTAAAAAATTCCAAATAATTAATATTATATAGCTTGAGGGGCCGGGGATTTAGCTCAGTGGTTCCACCGCCTGCCTCGCAAGCACAAGGTCCCAAATTTGATCCCCGGTACCAAAAAAGAAAAAAAAAAATTACATAGCTTGAGTATCCCTTATGTGAAATGCTTGGGATTAGAAGTGTTTGTGATTTCATATTTTTTCAGTTCTCTCATATATATAACTCAAGTCTATGATGTCCAGAAATACAAATATTTTTATATTTATATATGAATGAAGTAATTAATGTTTCACATACGTCTTGTACACACAGCCTGAAGGTTTAGTTATTTTTTGGTGTTTTTTTTTTGGTTCCGGGGATCAAACTCGGGACCTTGCGCTTGCAAGGCAGGCAGCGGAACCACTGAGCTAAATCCCTGGCCCTAGTTTTTGGTTTTTTGAGACACAGTCTTGCTATGTAGTTCAG